GAAAAAGGAGGATTCGACGGTCCTCGCTAGTTTGGCCCAAAATTAGCTATTCTTCTTTAGGTAGGCACGATAAGAGCATCTTCAACAGACTATCTAAACTCACTACCTATCCTATATCTAGGTAATGGAGCCAAAAAAAAGTCTCCACCAGGCTACTTATGAGACTACCCGTTAGTCAGCCTATTCACTTGTTGTTTTCAGCCAGGGCTTATCAGCCAACCAATAGTATTTTTCTCTCATAACAAACCAATATCAGCCCAGCTTATCGCCCCTAAAACAACAAGCGAACATGCCGAGTATAACAAATTTCTCCACCCACTGCCTACGTCTGTTGGCCAACGCTACCTATTTCTCCCAACCCCACGCGCCTCTCTCTCTCTCCGCGCTCGCCGGTAGGCGCTCATCCATCTCCGGCGTCGCTACTCCCTCCCGTGTCCGCACCGGCGGCGCTCTTCTCCGCGGGCGGCGAGCGGCCCTTGCCGGCGGCGCTGCTCCACCGCAGGCGGACCTCGCCAGCGGGATCCTCCCTCCCCTGCCCGACGCCGCCTGCCCCTCTCCCTCCGGTGTCCACGACGGCGACCGTAGCCCCTACTCCCTCTGGCGTCCACGACGGCAGCTGCAGCCCCTCCCCTACCCTGCCCGGCGCCACCTGCCCCTTCACCCTCCGACGGCGACCTCAACCCCTCCCCCGCTCCCTCCGATGGCTGCCGCAGCCCCTCCCCTGCCCGATGCCGCCTACCCCTACTCCCTCCGATGTCAGCCGGGCGGATCTAGACTCCACGACGGCAGCCGCGCCCCCCCGACCTCCATCGGCCCCACCCCTGCTCCCCTCCTCTAGCGACGACTTCATCTGTGGAGAAGAAGATAGAAGAGAGAATGACATGTGGGACATGTCTGTCATTCTCTATTAGGATGAGTTTGGGTAGCCTGCTGAAGTTGAGAGTAAAATTTGAGTAGTAGAAGAATAGGTGGCTATTTAGGTAGGTAGCAGCGCCGGAGATGGCGCTCTAACTATTCTTTGCTGGGTTACTCGTAGACGATATAGCTTTCTTTATCGTATATATGCGTGGTAGTTTTATTTCTCAGATGCAATCACAAACTCGGCCCAGCCTGGTTGCAAAGTAGGTAGAGTGGGCTTCGCATGCAGCACCTACGAGTGTTGTTTCGATAATATTTTGATATATGTGTGTTTTAGCACTTTTAGTGTGGCACAATCTTTACATGAACGTATATCATCTACTAGAAGAATTCTAAAATTCAAAAGTATATAAACCATGTAATCGCGGAATTTGACTAATTTGTATTTTGAATTTTGGAGAACTACTAGTACAAAAAATATTTATGGAGCCAGGCAGGACCAAACATCATTGTTAATCGCCATTTATAGAGGCAGCTGGAATACATGCCTATAAAAATTGACAAACGAACGATTAATGGTTTCTAGAAAATAAAAAATTTATGTCCTTTCCAGAATTAGAACCAGCGACGTATAACTATAACTTTGCACTAACACGTCCTAACCAGCACCACACAATCACTTATGATAAGATTCTATGTTTTTACAAGTATTTTGTAATCTTATATTGAATATTTTGACTAATAAATAAAAATCAAATAAAAAGTTTGAACTACAAAGTTTTAAATCTTTTCAAGCACCACAACTTCAAAAATTGTTTAAAAAAAATAAAAATTCAATCTCAAAATATATGATTTTAAAATAAATATTTGAGACACTAAACAACTTTAAATTAAAAACATATCAGTAGAAAAAATGTAAATAAGGTCAACTACCACAACTTTGGTATTAACTATGTGAACTTTTAAGGTCATTTATAAATTCTAAATTTTAAATCTCAAAATATATGAACTTATAACATATACTTGGGACTCTAAATGATTTCAAACAAAACCTTTTCAAATACAAAGTTGTAGATAGTATTGAGAACTACAACTTTGATTTAGACCATGTCAACATTATAGGTTGTTTGAAATTTTTAAAATTTTTAATTTCAAAATCCATGAATTTGAAATAATATTTTAGGACTCTAAACAGTTTCAAATAAAAAACTTATCAAATATAAAATTCTAGATCATGTCGTGGCTAAAATTTTGATATAAATTTTGTTTTCAGCTGAGCTACAATTTTGATATAAATTTTGTCTTCATCTGAGCTCATATGGAAAGTTCCGCCTCTAAAGATCGATTTACGTACTTAAGACGACTGCCCCTGTTAATCCATAATTTTTAGAGACGGGATCGTCTTAGGACATCCGTCTTTGTAAGAGAAACTCCAGGGGTGCTTATCAGTGCACGAAGATCGGCCAAACAAGCTAGCATGGCACTTTGATCCGAAGGGTCAATTCAGCGTTAGGAGTGCTTACAAAGTTTGACAGGCTGAAATTAGGCGGGAAAGAATGAGGTGCATCGGACAGAGTAGTGATGGCACAAATCAAGACAAGTTCTAGACAGAGCTATGGAATCTGCAATGCCCAAATAAAATCAAGCATTTTCTCTGGAGTTTTGCTTTAAAAATAGCCATTCCTTTTTTTTAAGGGATAAATTGATCCCCTGAGAAAGAACTTGGTGCAAAGGAAGGTGAAAATTGATCCCCACTTGTCCAGTCTGTGGCAGATATGATGAAGACGGGGGACACTTGTTTTTTAAATGCAAAGCCATCAAGGAGATGCGGGGTCTGCTCAACCTGAAAGGGGAACGTGAGGTAATGGCAGGTATGAACTCAGCGAGAGAAGTTATCAGGTACATGCTGTCGATAAAATCAGAGAAGAGAATGATAATGCTGGTTTCACTTTGGATGTGGTGGGCGGAAAGAAATATTAATATTAGAACGGGCGGGAAGCAAAGATGCGCAGCTGTCAGTCCGGTGGAGAAGGGAGTGCTCCAAAACAAAAGGTGAAAGAACGTTGGGCAAAGCCTCCAGCTGGTAAACTGAAAGTTAACTGCGATGCTTCCTTTTCTCCGGCTTCTCGAGCTGATGGATGGGGATATGTCATCAGATACTCTGATGGTGATGCGGTGAAAGCGGGATGTGGAAGAGTGGATTTCCTTCTTAATGCTTTTCAGGCTGAAGTCATCACTTGTATGCATGGAGTGCAAGCGGCCATTAATCTTGGGATTGCCAACCTTTTAGTAGAGACAGATGTTTTGGTGAAGCAAGCTCTTCACGGAGGTGGCTATGGAGGATCGCTGGTAGGAAGTTTTGTAGAGCAGCTGCAGTCTATGGTGTATGCAAATCTTAGCTCTTTTGCTTGTCTGTCAATTGTAGCCATAGGGTGCGAGACTGCGAGTGTGTGGAAGGATTGGAGACGTCTATGACCTTCCTTCCTGAACACATCTTCTGAGTAATGCAAAGTTCCCTTTAAAAAAAATCGAGGAGAGTCTTTATATAATTTATAGGGATAGAGATTTTGGTGAAAAAATATCTTTCAGCGGTCTCTTTAAATGGGTCATCAAATATAGACATCATCTATTCTGGATCTCTCGCCAGGTAAAGATGGAGAAGAGGGGTGACTCTCTAAAATACGAATAAGATATAGAAAAGTTCTTGAGTGGACAAAGATATAGAAAGTGATTAAATACCTCTTATACAACATCATCTATTCTGAATCTCTCGCTAAGTAAAGATGGAGAAGGGGGGTAACTCTCTAAAATACGAATAAAATATAGAAAAGTTATTGGAGTGGACAAAGATATAGAAAGTGATTAAATACCTCTTATACAACATCATCTATTCTAGATCTCTCGCTAGGTAAAGATGGAGAAGGGGTGACTCTCTAAAATACGAATAAGATATAGAAAAGTTATTGGAGTGGACAAAGATATAGAAAATGATTAAATACCTCTTATACAATATCATATATTCTGGATCTCTTGCTAGGTAAAGATGGAGAAGGGGGGTGACTCTCTAAAATACGAATAAGATATAGAAAAGTTATTGGAGTGAACAAAGATATATAAAGTGATTAAATACCTCTTATACAAGTTTTAGGGTGGTTAGAATAAACGTGAACCATCCATTGATTCAGATCCGACAGTGAAAAAAATATGAAGTACTAAGAAAAAAGTACCGGAAAGTACTAGGAAAATACCAATACACGCGGGACCCGTACCAAAACATGCGGGACTGGTATCTATATTTTTTTAAAAAAATAGTTATATTTAAAAACAAAGGGTATTCCAGTAATTTCACCTTCTCACAGATACAGCACCGCCGGCGCCGCAGGCCCGCAGCAGAGCCGCCGCCGTAGGAGCAGGAACCACGTGGCCGAAGTCTGCCGACTCGTGGATGAGCATCACAAGGCAAGCACCGCGCATGGCGAGGAGGTCTGTTCTTGTGGAGACGGCTTCTAAATATGTCCGTCACTGTTAATTATATAGGCTGTTTTTTTAAACCTTTTTTAGTGAACAAATAGGCTGTGTGTTTAGATCGAAGTGAGTACTTCAAGACGACAATTCTATACATGACGTAGTTTATTTCGCAAAATTCAAACTTCAGAACTATTTTATTTGCCTCGAAATCGCATATTCCAGGCCGGAACCACCGAACAAGATGAAGTAGAGCCGCGCCCACGCAGAAAGGCCAGTGTCACGTGCCGGTGCCGCCTCGTCTCCCTCCGACCGCTTCTGCCCGAAAAGCACCGCCGTGTCCATGTAGTAGCACTGCAACCTCCTCGACGCCGACGCGTGACGACGACACAGCCCCCAGCCCCCACCGTGTCGAGCCGCGCGATCGACACCGGAGACCGGACCTTAGAAACGTCCCATGCGCCATCATATCACCGCCGAAAACGTACGCAGGCGGCTGCCGCCATTTAAAGAACCGCATGCGTGTTTGTGCCCGTCACTCGATCACTGCATGTGATGCGCGCGGCATCAGGCAGTTGATATCGTAAAAGATTCATCGGTCGTCGGTCCTTGATTCTTCGAGCGCGACACGCCGACACCCCGTTTCCTCCGGCCGGGATTCTGGGGGACGCGACGGGATGGACGGCAAGCATGGGTGGTACAGCGGCAGTAGGTGCCGGCCGCCGGCGATCAACGACGTGCAGCAACTCAAGGACAGCTTTGGAGGCAAGGAGGCAGCCACGGCGCCGTGGTCCGACCTGTGGAACGGCGGCCTCGTCTGCGCCTTCGAGTTCGTTCGTCGCCGCCATGGCTTCGCCAGCCCGCACGACCTCTCCCGGAGCAACTCCACGCATTCCAAGGACCTTCCGGTCATCACGGATTCCGGTACAGATACTGCTTGTCTCCTCTTCGTGATCGTGTCATCGTCGCATCTATAACAAGTTTCTTGATCAATAGTAATAGTATATTTTGTAATCGTCAGGTTCTTCCACCGACGGCGACGAGCCGAGGCCAGCGTGCAGGCACGGGAGGGCGGCGCCGGGCGAGAGCTACTGGTCTCCCATCTGGTGGACGAGGATCGCCGAGCTGGTGGCCATGTCGACGGGGACGACACGGCGTGGGACGACGGGCAGGGGATCGGCCTCACGGACGCCGATGCCAACGGCCAGCACTGCTGTGACGACATCACCGTCGCCGACGTCGCCGTGCCGTACTGGCAGCGACCGGCGGGTCCGACATGGTGGTGCCACGTCGCAGCGGGGCACCCGGCCGTGGACGCGTGGCTGGCTACCAGCGCGCGGTGGCTGCACCCGGCAATCTGCGTCGCGCTCAGGGATGAGACCATGCTCATCAGTGAGAAGATGAAGCATCTGCTCTATGAGGTTCCTGTTAGAGTTTCAGGAGGCTTGCTTTTCGAGCTATTAGGCCAGTCGGTAGGCGATCAGACTCAGGATGAAGACGACATTCCTATTGTGATCCGTGCTTGGCAAGCTCAAAATTTTCTGATAACAGCTCTCCATGTGAAAGGTTCAGCACCAAACGTCAACGTTATAGGAGTTACGGAGGTCCAGGTAATGACCATCACTCCATCAATCAACAGTTACACTGAAGAGATCACCTTTGTTTCCTAACCATTTTTTCCTGATCCTCGCTCAAATATTAGGTACAGTACATTTTTAACCTCTAAGTTACACCTCAATGGCCAACCACCAACTGTCGAAACGGTCCTAGGACTGGTTCCATATATTGCTTTCTATCTAGTATTTACTAAATTGATAAAAAATCTAGTTTTATCTCTAAAAATTTACAGTTAATTTATTTTCAATCAGGAAAATATGAAACTAGTGCCAACTATTTTTCTAGAAATGTTATCTACGTATAGTTATTTAGAATAAATAAGATCCTACCACACGAGTGACATGTTTATGATCTGAGTACCAACTATTTGGATGTAGTTTATTTTCTGTTCTATTAAATTCTATTTCTTGAAGTCATGCTCATTATTTATTTAAAACAAATAAGATCCAAATAACTCTTAAGTAGAGCACCAACAAATATATAACATTTTAAGAAGGAAATCGGAACTAATTTCATATATTTTTTATTTATTTAGAATAAATTAATCATGATTTTTTAGAAATCAAAATAGATTTTTATTGTTTTTAGAAAATATAAAATCACCCTTGGAACTCTGACAAAACCGGCGACCAAATTTTTCCAATTTTGACATTTGAATGATGTCTGTTATCCGTTTTCAGAGTTAGAAATTGGATTGACGTGCAAACTGGACTATTGGAGGTTGAAAATTGTAGTTTAGTCTCCAATATTTCTTCTATTTTTTGTTCAGGAGCTTCTTTCTACCTGTGGAAGCACAGTTCCCAAGAGTATTCATGAAGTTATAGCACATTTTGCTTCCCGACTTGCTCGATGGGATGACAGGTGGATCTGATGGTGTGCTATTTAATATGCTAATATGCATAAAACTCTAATTTTGTATCATTGGTACTTACTTTGTGTTTGAGGCATTATTTTTACATATGTAGACTATGGCGGAAATACGTATTCGGTGCAGCTGACGAAATTGAACTTAAATTTGTAAACAGGTAAGTTACACTCCCATGTTCAACTTCTCTGAATTGGTTTTTCTCTGTACTTAGAATTCTATATGGGCATTCTCAGGCGAAACGAAGAAAACCTGAACCTGCTATGTATAATCTTCAACCAAGACATTAGAAGGTTGGCCACCCAGGTAGTAAATCTTCCTTTTGAATTAAAACAGGATTAAAATTAAAATAAATGCTGGCCTAGTATTTTTTTAGTGAAAACCATGCCCAAAAATTACTCAACTAGAGGGGGTGCGCCCGCACCATCCTCACAACTTCAGTACAACGACCAACCAACTAACCTCTCAACTCCACTATTCGCTCGAGAACAACTTGGTTGAACAGAACACAACTAACAACTTGACTGAACAAATTAGCCCACGGTAAACCCAAGAAAGACCCTTCATGAGCACTAGCACAATTAAACGACTCTGTTACAACAGCATCTAACTCTGCATGCAAATTGCCAAATATAAATATATCATTTTGACACTTCGACAATGTACTTAATTACTAGGTTATCAGAGTGAAATGGTCACTACATGCTAGAGAGGAGATAATATTTGAACTCCTAAAGTATCTAGGGGGAAGCACCACACAATCCTTGCTTGAGGATGTAAAGAAAGACGCAAGGAAAATGATTGAAGAGCAAGAGGCTGTCCGCGGCCGGCTGTTCACCATTCAGGATGTGATGCAGAGCACTGTCCGTGCTTGGTTGCAGGTAAGCACATGCTACAATTTCTGGTGTGGTGAAAAGGGATTCTGAACCCAAGAATTTCTTTGTGCCTATTACATCCTTCTGATACTGGATAACTGAAATATCGATTATGTAACCTGAACGCTATCGTTTTTGGTATTTTCAGGACAAAAGCCTTCGCATTACACATAACCTGACAATATTCGGTGGGTGCGGCCTCATTCTGTCCATCATCACAGGACTGTTTGGTATCAGTGTCGACGGGATACCTGGGTGCTTAGAACACTCAATATGCTTTTGCATTGTTCACTGGTCTTCTGTTCTTAGTACGACTCCTGTTGATCGTCGCCGGGAATATCTATTTTGGGCTGCAAAATCCGATCAGCGATCAACAGGTTCAGGTGAGAAAACTGGAGCTCCAGCAGCTAGTCTCAATGTTCCAGCACGACGCCGAGACACATGCCAAGGTTAGGGAAGGGGTCTTAATAAGGAATGACTTGCCTCCGAGAGCCGCTGATCTCATATATGACCAAGGTGATTACTATTTCAATGATTCAGCGATGGAAGTTAAAATTCATTGTTCGTGAAAAGGTTTTACTATGGGTATACTGAACAAATGGCCTAGTTACCAAAGTGTAAGCCTTTGTTATACTATAAGCACACAATATAATAGCTATGCACAACTTTAGTAGCATCTTCAGGATCCATTTTATTTGCACTTAAAAAAATCGGTCAGGGAAGTACTTCTGTTAGGAATAAAAGAAAAAAATGTACATAATACTACTATGTCCAGAACGAACTGTACCTTTTTTCTGAATGATTGACTGCATCCAGCTATGTAAAATGACCTGGAAGTTGATGCTAGAAACTTTGGCATTTAATTTGTCAGTTAAGAAACTGGGAAGATACTTCTCACTTGAAGCTAAAAACGAGCCATCCCTCCACGGTTACCACCTGGTTTCTCTTTGCACCATGTAGTAGCAAACTCAAAATGTAAGGTTAGCAAAGCAAACCCATCTCATCAAGACTCATCATCTCGACATCTCACTACCACACAAGTCACAAGTGGCATTGCTGATCTCCCTTGATCCATGCAGCCAAAGAGCGAGCAGATGCAGCAGCCTGGTGGCACCATGCCCACCTCTGAAGAAACTCCCCAGGGCGTCATTCCTTTTAGCTATCATTTTCATCGTCAGGTGCCGTTCACATGGGCAGAGAGGTGATTGCAGTTGTAAGTTTCTCTTGTCATTCACGTGACTGTTGAGATCGATGTAGTAATTGTAAGAACTCCCCAAGTGCCACAAGTTGCAACAAGTCAGGAAATGTGATTGTTAGGCTTCTATAGTGGCCATTTCTGCCCAAGTGGATATGTAGTCTCTTCCCTTCTTCAGGCAGAGACAATTTCAGTCTCAGACTACTCGTTCAGTGTCAGACAATAAATTTACCCCCTGCTCGCTTGAGCTATTCAGAACCACTTTTCAACCATGGAACAATGTTTTCCTTTCATAACATTTCAGCATAAGCTAAATTTCAGCATCAGCGAACAGGGTGTTAGTTTCGGTCTTTTGGATGCATGGGTTTTGAGTTTTATGTAGTAGATCTTTTCCACAGGTCTTCACGTGAATTTGCCTCCAATTGTCGTTGTCAGCATCAGCTACGCTTGCAACCTATTTTTTGCTGAAAGTTGCAGTTGGTGCCTAACTTTTGAGATCGGTAGTTTTTCTGGTCCTTGGGACCAAAGTAGTACCTAAGATAGCATGGAAAGGGATCAGATAACGTCTGCTACCTGTTGTTTGATTTAGGACGTGCTCACTGAACTCTGCAGCACTTCGTCACAAATTGACAACTCCGACTTGATCGAATGATCGTCAGAACAATCATGTACAGTATGCATAAATAAAGGGCATGTTCGCTTGGAGGAATTCTGGAGGAATTTGGATGGTTTGGAGGAATTTGGAGGAATTTGTGAGAAAAACATTGTTCCGGATAAAAAAAAAAGCGGATAAAGCTGGTTTGAAGGGCACGCGAACAGGACCAAAGACAAAAACTTTACAGCATATTTTATTGATCAGGTCCACAACATGCATACAAATACACTACTGGTACAATCTCTGACCCCAAGCTCCCTTCATAAATACTGGTACACCCTGCAGTACATACGAATACGTATGTCTACGGTACACGCACGCAAGCATGCCCTCGCTCACTTGCCGGGGACGAAGTTGGTTGCGTAGGCCCAGGCGTTGTTGTTGACAGGGTCGGCGAGGTGGTCGGCGAGGTTCTCGAGGGGACCCTTGCCGGTGACGATGGCCTGCACGAAGAAGCCCAACATGGAGAACATGGCGAGGCGGCCGTTCTTGATCTCCTTCACCTTCAGCTCCGCGAACGCGTCCGGGTCATCGGCGAGCCCGAGCGGGTCGAAGCTGCCGCCAGGGTACAGCGGGTCAACCACCTCCCCGAGCGGACCACCGGCGATGCGGTACCCCTCGACGGCACCCATGAGCACCACCTGGCACGCCCAGATGGCCAGGATGCTCTGCGCGTGGATCAGGCTCGGGTTGCCGAGGTAGTCCAGCCCGCCCTCGCTGAAGATCTGTGACCCGGCCTTGAACCACACGGCCTCGCCGAACTTGACGCCGTTGCGGGCGAGCAGCTCCGGGAACACGCACCCGAGCGCGCCGAGCATGGCCCAGCGGGAGTGGATCACCTCCAGCTCGCGGTTCTTGGCGAAGGTCTCGGGGTCCGCGGACAGCCCCGCGGTGTCCCAGCCGTAGTCACCGGGGAACTCGCCGGTCAGGTAGCTTGGGGGCTCGCCGGACAGCGGGCCGAGGTACAGGACGCGGTCGGCCCCGTACCAGGGGCTGCCGGACGCCGTTGGCTTGGGCTTGGCAGCAGTCTTGCGCATGGTGATGCGGCCCTCGCCGAAGATGTCCCTGGTGCTGGCCGCCGGCTTGCTGACGAGCGCGCAGGAGGTGAGAGCCATGGTGGCGGCGGCCATGTTGATCAGATCACAGCTTCTTCTGTCTGATGCTTAGCTCTGTTTTGTGTATGCGTGTGATGGCTGTGTCAGAACAGAACACAGCAGCTGCTTTTATACAGTTGGGATTGGATAGCAGGTCATCTTTTGCCGGGCTGGGATTGGCCGGTTGGTCCTGCCGGGATGATGGCTTGGCATCTGATGTGACACCTGGTAGGCCCCAGTGGCCCATCACACAAGAATCTTGGGGTGTGCCACGTAGGAACGGCCAGAGCTAATCAGGAGCTGCCACTTGCCATTGTGGGAAAGGAGTGGATGAGATAGGTTTGGTTTTGTTGTCACGTGCTTCTTGCTAATTGTCAAATGCATAATCAATAGAGAGCTTTGGTGTTGATTGATCGCAATGGACTGTTAGCTTGATCTCCATCAAGTTGGCCCAACGGTCAATTGGCCTCTTGATCCGTGCCCTGATCGGGGGCGTCCAGCCATTCATCTGGCTGATAACCCTCCGTCGCGCAGCGCAATAAATAGGAGGTGGGGCTGGGACTCGAGGTACGAGGTTCACTGTAGCCTCCAGCGCCTCACCGAGGTTCCTAGCCCTAGTCCGATCTAGAAGAGCGCGCTGTGAGCCACGGGAAGCACCACTGCCTTCACCGTCGCCTCTGCACAGCGCCGGATGTCCACATCGCCGCCGGAACGCCACTAGAGCGCTACCCCGTCGCCGACCTTATCACCAACACATCGCGGCCACCTTGTTGGCGGTGCCACCGCCGTGACTGCCTTTTGGTGAGGTATATCAGCAAGTCCTCTTATCTAAGTTATGTTTTTACCCACTGATCTACGCTTAGATGGTCCTAGAAACCTATCAATGGTATCAGAGCCATAGTTGCTAGTGGGTAGATCCAGTTTTGGGTAGAAAACAGAAAAGAAATTAAGAAAGAACTGATCCAAATCGGATCAGAAACCCTAACCCTAGATCACCATCGCCGGCCATCACCTCGACGCCACGCGGGAAGCGCACCCCGAGCTGCCGCGGGCACAAGAAGAATCCACCTAACCCTAACCCTAGATCAGGGAAACGGACGGAGAAGGGGAAAAGAACCTACCTGGTCTCCTTACCGTTGTCATCACCGTCGTCGCGCGGGAAGAGATCCGCTGTTGCGCGGGGCCCTAAAGGGCACCACCGCAGTGCCGCTCGACGACGTCACGCTCGGCTCTGGCCGCACGCATGCGCCGGCAAGGGGTGCCACGGCGGCGCCATCTCCTTCGTCGCGCCTGTTCCGGAGTAGTCTACTGCGGCGGTCGTGGTGTGCAGCACGACGAAGAGAGAGAAGCAGAGGAAAGAATGAGCTCTAGGGTTTCGGGGAGCCGCGCACATGCACTCAGGGCGCCATCGCTAGACCGCTCGATGGCGGCACGCTCACCCTACTGTGGGCGCGCGCACCGGCGAGGGGACCGGCGGCGCCACCACCACCTCCGACCGTCGTGGTTTTGAGAAGTGCAGAGAAAGCTGGGTGCCGCGGCTGAGGAGAGCAGACGGGAGAGGAAAGGAAGAAATGAAATTAGAGTTTCGGTGACGCGCCACGGTGGGTGGTTTTGATCTCGCGAGAACGACGGACATCCGTCAGATCAGGATCAACGGCTCCGGGCGCTCGGGCTTCTTTCAGCCTAGGCGGTTTGAGGAAATCTTGGTCCAGGCCTAGGTTGTGACCTGGGACGCGGGGAGCGCAGCGCGAGCCGCCACCGACAGCAGTGCGCGGGAGCAGGCTAGGCCGAGCGCGCTAGCGAGCGGACGAGATAAGCAGGTTGTTGGGCCGACGTACGCCGCTGGGCCACGCGCGCGGGCGAGCTAGCGAGCTGGGCCGCGTATCGGATTTTCATGTTTTCGACCTAGATGAACAGTAAATACTGAGGTTTTGTTTTACTATTTTTAGAAGCAAATTTTTGATGTTTTTGTCAGTTTAAATCTCTTTCAAAATTTGAATCAACGGGATAATTTTTTCAGAGAGCAGATGAGTACAGTAAAATGCTTCTGAAAAGTAGATAAATTATTTTTTTATGTTTTCGCTGCAAAATTTAATGTTTATTATCTTCTAATTAAATTCGAACCAACGAAAAAATTTAATTTAAAGAGCAGTTATATTTAGTAAATTATGATTATGTTTATCCTCTAATTAAATTGAAACCAACGGGAAAATTTAAATTAAAGGAGTAGTCCGCTTTGTTTAAGTCAGATTATTGTATTGTTATTTTCTAACCAACGTTGATGATGATAATATTATAATTTGTTCAAGTTTGAGGTTTAAATCTCTGATAAATTTTACATCAATGTGGTCAATTTTTTAGAGAGTAGGTAAAGAGCAAGAAATACTCCTAAACTAATAGAATGTATTTTATTATCGTGTTTCGCTATAATGATGTTGATTATCTTTTAATTAAATTTGAACCAACGGAAGAATTTAATTTTGAAAAGTAGTTATATGTCTTTTAAGTTAATTTATGAGTTTTATGCATTAATTCTATTTTCTGTCCAACGGTGATGTAGAATTGATGCAGAAGCATCTTATAAGTTTTATTTTTTAACCGATGAGATCACTCGGCTGCATGCCAACAGGCTGCAATGCTGGGATATGTGAATGAAAAGGTTTGAGTCAAGCTAGTTCAGGACAGTTTTTTGTTAGTTTACTAATTTTCTGATTAAATTAGAATCAACGGGAAGATTTAATTAAAAAATAAAGTATAAGTGAATGTTTTAGTCATCATGACTAAATTTTTCGTTACGGTAATTTGTATATAGATATATCCCGCATGGGGAGAAGTTTGGTATAATATTTATGGTAGTCAATCCTGCATGGTGGAAAAAGTTTTGTGATGACTCATATGTTTTTGTATGAAGTCCAAGTATTGACCGTGGCACAATAGAAATACATCGTCATGGTCAATACTAACCAAAAGATGAGAAAAGATGCAAGCGTGACTTGCAAAAGAACTGCTAATGAAAGACCTCGTTGAGTTCTTGAAGTGAAATAAGGAAAGTGTACTACTAAACGGATCAAGAAATAATTTTGTTTATATGACATAATCATGTGAATGAAGTAAATTATAAGTGTCTCCTCGTTCACAGGTTTTCTGAATAGTTCTTGAAATTATGGCAGTAAAGTTCATGCCATATTTTGAGGGGGAAAATATTAAGATCAATTAAGAAAAATACTCTTCATTAAGAGTGAGATAAAGATCAATTAAAAAAGATACTCTTCATTAAGAGTGAGATAAAGATTAATTAAGATGAATGAGACCGTTGGAGGAGTACAACGGTCACAACAATGATACCCCTAAGCAGAGAAATAGCTAAATTCCTGGACCTTTTAAAGTTCCGACAGGAAGATAGTGTAGTCACCTCAAAGATGTTAAGGCGGTGCTTAAAGCGCCATATGAGGTTTTAACAGATTAAACTCAAACAAGCAATTTGAAGGTACATTATCTTTTTTAGAAGATGGAATGATTTGGGGGAGCATGGTATGTAGAGATCTATGACTTGAAGAGAAGCGAGACTGTGTGCCCACTTTAGTGATTCAAAAAAAAAAAAGTTTCTCAATACCTGTTGATGTTGTATGACTAATACAACACCTGTTGTTAGCTCTTTGAAGAAGATGAATAATATAAACAAAGATCTTGTAATACATGAACCTGTATAATCAATTGTCTCTTGACAATGAAGAGCAACAACAGCCCCATATGAAAGTGTCAGTAGCTGAGGGCCCAGAAGGTCTCAAAGAATTAGTAAGCCAGTTTTTTCTGATGACTATGAAGTCTATGTTAGTGAAGAAATTCAAATGAAGGGTGATCCCACCCCATTTGAAAAAGTCATGAGAAGCGTTTACTCGTTTA